CATAATTATAATAATAACTAATAGATACATTATTCACCAAACATATTGTTTCAACATATTTCTTAAGTTGTTCGAATGATTGCTTGCCCTAATCACGAAGAAAATAAACCAATTCAACTTGAGAAAAAATTGAAAAGGCAAGTATAAAGACAAGATAGAAAATAATTTTGACGTCCATATCGTACATATTTTAAAATAAATTTATTTGTCATAAAATTGATTAATACTATTTATATAAAAATAAATTTTGAAAAAACAATACAGTAAATAAGTTGTATTTTAATAAATTCGTTAAAGTGACTCTCTCTTATACAATACAATCAGGGTTGGTCAAATCATGGTCGACCAAAAATTCATTGGTAGTTTATTAAATAAATAAATCTAGTATACAAAATAAATAAATATATATGCATATATATATACTAAATATTTAAATGTTCTTTGACCAATTTGACCAATACTAAACCCTTTGACCAACTGGTCAAATTGGTCAAACTGATCTGGTCAAGCTTGACCATTGACCGGTCCATGCCAACCCTGAATACAATGGGTCCTAGATAGGGTTCTGCAAGTGCCGGCATTGTGCCATTAAAACTTTTGATAGCACCACGCAGAATCCTAATCCTAGATTCTGTAATTAGAAATAGATTTCAGAATTTTTAAGGGCTATTAAAAATAGCAATTAGTAAGATTTTGGCATCAAAAATTTCAAAACCGTTTTGTAGTTAATATTTTTTATTTTTATTTTATTTTATTTTTATTGTGGAATGAAATTAAAAGGTTGCAGAATCCCAAGATCCATTCTCTTGATGTTATAACTATTTTTTTTTTTTTCCTATAAAAAATTAGGAATTCAATAAATGTAATAAATATTTTTGGAATATTTTAAATGTATACAAGCGAATAAAGTAACCATATTAGTACAGAAAAAAAAAATAACAAAATATTTAATGCAAGAAACAATAGAAATATTCTGACTAACGATTTTAAGGTCTCTACAAATATAACTTTTTTTTGTAAGAATAATATGATGTATTGAGTTTTTAGCTCTTTTTATGCAGTTAAAAGAAAAGTTTCCCTCATCTGGAGTCACCACAACGCCTACGGTTCCGCTTTTTAGCTGGGTAAGAATCCCATCAAATGTTTGAATGACGCTGGGCCCTAATAATTATATTTATTAATATACTGAAATTTCTTGTAATTGTACAATTTTTAAAGTTTCAAAAAATTTCAACATCAGCTACGCTTTTTAATCCTATTTCTCTAATCCTACCTATATCTCTAGTCCAATCTTTACACATAATTGCGAATCGAGTACCGTCAATTTCAATGTCAATATCAACTTCTTTACTATCACTTAAATAATAAAATAATGAGTATTGTATCATAATCATAAAAAACATATGAGAATGTTTGTGTATCCTATTCACCATGAATTCTGGCAGAGCATGAGTCATTTCCAGAACACCTGAAACCAGAAGAACGTTCAACTGCCGAAACAGTTGGCCACGAAGTGCTTTCAATTCTAGATATTTAACACAGGTGTAGCAGCGTAATTTCAGATATACAACGACTCAACAAATAACTCAAATGAGAAGAAGCACTCACTCATTATATTTGAATGGTATTTCTTTTTTTAATTCATCAATAATATCAGTTGTAACATCAGCAAAAATATATATGCGTAAACTTTCGTAAGTTTTTATGGTGCGTAAGAAAATCGTAAACTTACGTAAAATTTAGCGTAAAACTACGTAAATCTTACGGTGCATAAGAAAATCGT